GACACACAGTATGGTACAAACTTGCATTGAACTTCATAAAAAATATGTATTTCATCCGAACAATTTAAATTATTAAATGTAACTGTTATCTTTTAAATAAACTCTCTTACCTCACATCAGCTAAAGGGGAAAAATAGATTAAGTGTTTAGTGCAAACAAAGGTACATGATTCAGGGGCGGATCCATGATTTGGAAGAGGGGGGTTCAAAACGTTTCCAAAAATACCCAAAATGAAAGGTGGTCCGGGGGTCCTCCCCATGGAAAATTTCCCCCTTGAATCCGCCATTGTATGGGGAATCCTTTAACGCTCAGGTGACCTAGGGTTTTAAAACAAATACCGTATAGGCCTATACTCACGTACAAACGAGGCTTAAAATAGCAAACTACGATCGAAAAAAAAAAGGGGTCGTCGTATACGCACGACATTCAGATTTTAGATTTTTATATTCATGTTCGTCTTATGTGCGGATGTTCGTCTTATGTGCGGATCGTCCGTAAATCTGGTTTTCTACTAGCCGAATTTATTCACGCGAATCCAAAGCGTCGGCTTATGCACATGCGCATTCACATTTCTTTCGGAGTTTTTGAGATGCGAAAAAATGCGCAACCAATCAGAGCTCAGGAAGCGAGCCGACTCTTTGATTCGTGCGAATAAATTCGCTTAGTGAAAAACCAGCTTAACACGCGAACTTACTACTGCAATGAAGCAACTAAATGTTGTATCAATGAAAGCAATTTTAAATATGGGAAAATACGATTTTGGTGGTGAAGATTTAAAAACGCATAAAATTGTGTTATTTGGAAGATTACCCTTGCATTTGGCTCCATTTATCCAGCTAGACGCAGTATACAGGACCACAAAAAATTAGGAATTCCGACCATGAAACAGGGAGTCGTCTTATATGCCAGACAAACAAATATCAACCAAAAATCTTCTAAAACTCGTCACCTTATAGGACCTACGCGAGTGTATATGGTATTATTACGGAACCCCTGCGGAAGTTCGGGTTCCCGTCCCATTTTAAGCGGTTGGTTGTAACAATAAACTCGCAAGACTGCTCGCGACTACAGATTCTACAAGTGCGTGGTTGGCTTGGTTGTTTTGGTCGGAAAGGAGAAATTTTCTCTGTGAATTGATTCTCGAACGAGATAAAGAAAGCTCCCTAATGACTCAAGCTACTGTATACCGTTTTATATTTTTAATAAAACCAATTTCTTCTAATTTTAAATACGTTTTCCCCTGATTTTGTGATAATTCGTTATCATGCAAGTGCTAAATGAGTGACACATTTAAGACCTCGCATGTGTTTCTGCAAAATGCGTTTCATCCAATATCACTTTGAAGTGATGCGTGACGGTTGGTAACTATGGCATAGATAACTGCCGGAACCTAGGTAAATTGGTAAAAATGCACCTGATCGGACATAGAGACAGAGCCTCTAATGGGGTCTACCCAGGCGAAACTCTGAATGCTTATCGTTCTGAGGTTTTTAAAACAGATACGGTACGGCACTAACGCTCAGAAATATCTAAAAAATATTTTGTTAAAAAAATTAAAGAATATTGAGAACAAATTATGGTCAAGTCATGTTATCGTTTAGGGCCTATTAAGCATTTCATGAATCTATGATATATTATAATATTGACAACATCAATAGAACATATAGGAGGAATTGTGTCCAACCCGTCGTGAAAATGTACTGAATACATGTGAAAACACTTGCAAAAATAGTACTCGCTGCTTACTTTGGCTCGAATTAAACCCTGGCCATCAGGTGCAAGCTCGGTGGTCTAAGGGCATGATGCCAGACTAGTGATCTGGAGAATGTGGGTTCGAGTCCCACTGGAGAACAACTTGCAAATATATTTTGCAAGTGTTTTCACACGCACTGAGTAGGC